CACACACACACACACACACACACACACACACACACGCGCGCGCACACACACACACACCGCCGCCTCCACCACCGCCACCGCCATCACCGCCATCATTATCAGCACCACCACCACCATCATCAGCGCCACCCCCATCGACGTCCTCTGTTGCAGCATCTTCTCAGTCATCTGCATCATCTTCTTCCTCCTCTTCCCCTACTTCTTCCTCTACTTCCTCATCATCGACCTCATCATCAACGCACTCATGGTCAGATCGGCCATCACAAAGGCCCTGTCGGTCGAGGTATCCGTTGTTAGATCGATTGTTACAGATGCCTCCTCAACGGAGACGTTCCCCGTCTCCACAACAGCCTCCAAGACAGCGGCCTCCTTTGTCGTTGAATGGCATGATGACCGCGCCCCCTGCAGGGGTTAGAGATCTGCTCCGACAACATGCTCGCAACGTACGGAACGACATCGTCGCTTTCAGTATACACTAGCGAGGAATAGTGCACATCGAGTCCGATGCCCTCAATGTGGCGATGATTTCTTCAGTGCTGCAGGCTTACGAGTGCACCAGACACGAGGTGCAGCTACTTGTGCAGCGTTTGCACGACTAGCAGCCGCCCTGACCACAAGTGAGGTTGATCAGCTTCCAATTCGCACATCCGGTCCACCCAGTTCTCACCCACCTGACCCGCCCCTCTCTCATCCACCTAGCCCCACTCGCTCCCCTACCCCAAATGACAATGATCCGTCTCCTGATTACCTGATGGAGCCCCCGGTTGAAGATCATCTCTATCCGGAGCACAAACCGGAGCCAATTGGTCAAAACCACGTGTCTCCGCCACATGTGCAACCTGTAGAATCGAACGAGGATCCCCCTGCTGTGAACAGATCCCCCACGCAACCTGTGGAATCAGACAATGTCATAGCGCTACAGCGAGAGCTCTGTGCGTACTATGTCATTAATGTATGTGTCCTTGCTTACAATTGTAATCCTTACATTGTTGCTGATTTCGCAAACGTTGTTCGCTGGATAGAAGAAGAGCACTGTGTCGTCTGCCCAAAGGACGACAACATTGCGCCTGGGGTGAACATAGAAGTCCGGGCTATGGCATTTATGGGTAGGCGACTACAATTCCAGCCTGCTCCGCAAAACCACGAGCCAAGCACGGATCCGAATATTCGGGCATATATCTTATATTGTCCAGGTCACTTCGGTGCTCTTACCTTTGCAGATAATTCATGGACTCTATGGGACTATGGCGGTAGGGTGCACATTGTGGGAAATATTAACTCTTTTGATCACCAAATGTTGGAGGGTCACTCGGTATGGCTCCTCCATCAGGAACACTATGTCGATGAGCATTAGCAGGCACTACACCCCTCGGAGAGCAATCCGACTGATTCTACCACAAACAGTGAAAAGACCTCTCCACAGAATGATGGTTGTACCCTCCCGTTGTGTCACCGCACAGGTGCAGTTCGGTTGGCATGTACACGACATAACCTATGCTCCGAACACTACGAAGGGATGGTCGCTGCTAGCCTCCCACACGAAAATTGTGATCCCCTGTCTTGTGCTCATCTCCCCCACCCCCTGATTACTTGCCCAGCATGCCGTTGTGACCTTGATCTGCCATGCTTAGCAGTATTGCGAGGATAGTCAACGAGTGGATGACTATCTTGTTAAAAACCCAGTAGGTTTGAAAAAGAGGGTATATATATATATATATACAGGGTAACCGGCGTTCGGGACGGGCCGAACACCCGAACCCGAGCGCCCGAACGTATGGGACCCCTTGGGGATGCGTTCCGCCGTTCGGGCCGAACGCGCACCAAAAAAAAAAAAAAAAAAAAAAAAAAAAAAAGTCATCCAAAAAATCTGAAAACAAGATATGTTATGGAGAAAAGAAAATTAAACAACGTTTGCCTGAGCATTACATCCGAACTCCTTACCAAAATTTGAAATAAAAATAAAATATTGAGAACAAATACTAATAATAAAAATAAATAAAAAGAAAAAGAGGATCAAATTTAGTGAGTGCTCGAGCACGTTTTTGACACCGCCATCTTTGGCGATTTATCATTTTTTTATGGCATACCTAAATGACGTGAAAATTTACAGGTATGTACTTCACATACTGCAAAAGTCACTATAAGAGTTTCAAAAAATTATAAAATTGCTTACACCCCGAACGAAAGTGAAAACAAAGAAGTAAAAAGTGAAACAAAACGTGGGAAAGCACGTTTTGACACCGCCATCTTTGGCGATTTTTCGTTCTTATTTGGCTGAGCCAAATGACTTGAAAATTTAGAGGCATGTACCTCCTGCCGTAGAGAACTCACAAAAAAAAATCAGAAAAACCAAATTATTTTTAGGTCCCCAAAGAATTTTTGACGGGGGCCGAATGCCATCGGGTTCGGACCCCGAAAGCCCGTACGTACGGAGGTCTGCCCGGGGACCTCAATACGTACGGGCTGGTGACCCTGTACATATATATATATATCGTCACAAACAGAACTGCCCGGTAAACCGTAGGCAGAGAGAGAGAAGAGGACAACAAACGAGGGGCTATATATATACTAGGCTACCAGAGTGGCCCGGGATCACTTGCCCGGCCGAGCCAAAAAAAAAAAACTAAAAAAATAAAAATAAAAAAAAATTAAAATTTGGTGAAGAACTTGGATGTGACCCTGAGGCAAAAGCTGTTCAGTTTATTTTTCTGCATAACATAGTTTTTTTTTTGGATTTTTTGTGTTTTGCCGGGATATTCCCTGGTCCTCGCACAAGCTGCCTACCCGGGACCCGGGCGGTCCGGCTGGTAGCCTGGTATATATATATATATGTGACGATATATAATATATATATATAGCAGTTTTGTTTGTGACGATATATAATATATATATATATAGCCTCCTGATGAGTCGGTGAAACTCCGACGAAACAGTTTGTCACAGCCCCTCGTTTGTTGTCCTCTTCTCCCTCTCTGCCTACGGTTTACCGGGCAGTTCTATTTGACGATATATACGATATATATATATATATATATACAGTTTATATGTATATAATATATATATATATACACTGTTACGGTGTTTCGCGACCGAATGTTTGGGGCTACGGGCCGAACGCCGGCCACCATCAACCCCCACGGTACTCGCCGATTCGTTTTTGGGGGTAAAAAAATATATATATTTTTTCTTTGTTTCTTTTTTCAGATTACCATGCTAATAACATGCCTACGTACATATATCAGGATTTTTGGATAATCAAAATAATAAAAACTATAAATCGAAGAAGGCCAGGGGTCATTACATCCTTTTATTTTTTTTTGTATCCATCTATCCTTCAACCCGTTGATCTTTGAATACATAGCAGGGTACTTTATGCCATTCGTTGATCCTTCCATTCGTTCATAAGTTCATACGTCCATTTGTCAATCCACTTATCACATTTTATTTTTACCCATCCATTATGCTTTTCCTCCACAATTCTTTTAGTAGTCTTTTTCACCCCCTTCCAATCTCGAGACGAAGCGACCAAATAATGTATGAGCAAGATCCATTCATCGAAATTGGTTGCTTTTATTTGAAAGTAACATACAAAAGATTATAGGTACAACTTGCATATTTTGTTTGTTGTGAGAACATAAAAGAGTCCGTATGTCCCACAAATTGTGTGAACGCGTGTGGATGCAAAAAAAAATGTCGTTATGTACATATGGTGTCGCACGCTATGCGCCGATGGTATTTTGTTTCCTTTATATATTATTGAACCTCGCAGTGGCTACAGGCGGGAAACGAGGAGCAATTTCGGTATGGGATCGAATGCGTGCCATCGGAATAGACGTCGCAAATTTGAAAAACGAATACTTGCATATCGGTGTTCCTGGGAAGGACGCCGATATCGAAGCAGGATTGAACGACGTTGAAAGGTCACTTCGACAAGCTGATGATGCCATTGCGAAGGCGAAGAGTTCACACATGTCCTTATTGTCGATGGGGACTCGGGTGCATCAAGTGTTACATGACGAACGATGGAAACAAAACATCGTTGAAATACGTGAGAGGAATGTAATAGAACGTGAAGTTGTTGTAAAAAGACAGCGTGATTCAGTTTTCGAACGAGTACTGCGCATTCAACAAGAAGAAGATGAATTGAAGTTAGAAGAAATGATGAAAAAAAAAAAAAACGTCGTTAATCATTTTCCATAATCTCTTGGACATACAATGTCGTTATTGTTGGATATCCTCCAACCCGTTATCCACCACCGACGCATTGACGGTGTTGTGAACTCCCTGAAATGACGACAAGGGCTAGGTGGTATAGAAGACAAAGAGTTTGATGTATATGATTCTTTTCTAGACATGACAAAGATCGTCAACAATGGTCAAGTTTCTCCTTCGAACTACCATTGTCGATATTCCAAAAATGATAAATACTTGACGAGCAGTGAACTAATGAATTAAAAATTGTTGGTATACGCCTCTCTCACTTTATGAACGTTACGGTTTTGAAACATTCCATGACGCATGTGTGGCTAAGTGCAATCGGGGGTGCTTGTATGCTATTCGCACTGTTGAGCGTTCAGGGAACCGTAGCAACAGGGAACTTCCCCTTTACATTTTGATAATTTTATATATGATATGCAGATTGTGACCCTCATACTTGATACTGGTCGCCGTTCGTTCCAGCACATGATTGGTAGTTACTGGATATGCTAGCACGTTATAGCCAAGGATTATAATGAGTACGGCGTGTGTTGTCTGTGGCCGCAGGTGTGGAAAAACACCATTTTTTTATTAATCGTAATCATGTCATCCAACCATCAATCACAAAATCGGCGTGATGAAGGGAGAGGGCGACAACAGCCAAAGACGCAGATCGATGAAATAGATAAAGGGAGAATAACGCTGGTCAATTATGAGGAAGTTATCAAGACTTACGAGAGGCTTAGCAACATGGCAATGAAAGACATAAAAAAAGCTCTAGACCAGCTCGACTTGTCAATGACTCATGTGCGATCATTATACGAGGCACTCAAGCGAAAACACATAGAATTACAAGAGCGGGAAGGTGTGATTTGTAAGCGAGAACACTATTTGATTGCACGAGAGCGAACACTAGCTGATGAATGGGCGAGGGAGGTTGACAGTGGACCTGCATGTATGATGTCAATGGACTCCATAGTTGATTTACAACAATCATTACGTGACGCATCACACTCATCCGACAACTCAACAACACTTGGGAGTCGTGTTCCTGATACATTCTCTAAGGAATTACCTCGGTTCACACCCGTGCCTTTTCATGCACTGTCTGCGGATGATGGAAAGCTTATCACGAAGAAATGTAAGAAAAACAACAAAATATGATGTTTTGATCCTTATTCCGTCGTTATCTTTGTATGAATTATGAAGTTCTGACGATAAACATGTTTGAATAAACGACATTACCGATGTGAATATTGGTCAATGTGTGTGTGTGTGTGTGTGTGTGTGCGTGTGTATGTGTGTGTGTGTGTGTGTGTGTGTGTGTGTGCGTGTGTGTGTGTGTGTGTGTGTGTGTGTTAATGTGTGTGTGTGTATAAGTGTATGCATGAAACTACGACATTTGGGACAGTAGCGAGAGTAATAATACATTCGTCTGCTTTTGCGATTGTTTTTTTTTTTTTTTTTATAGCATTAGTCGCTTTGTTTTGGAATTGTTTTTGAACACCCCTCATGTGTTCTCTTTTCTTTTTTACATGTATGCGTTGTTTGTGAATATATACATGCACCACAACTTTTGTGTGTTTTGTGTTTTTGTGTTTTTGTGTATTTATGTGTGCATGTGCGTTGCAGTATGTTTCAGAGCAAAGAAAAGAAAAAAAAAACGCTTTTCATTCGAGCTATTATATAATTACTCTTAGTGTGTGTTATGGCGGATAGTACAAGTGGACAAGAAGGAAACAATGTGGATCCATCGTTATCGCAGCCGGTATCATCACAAGGCTCTAATGCGCCGGTGTCAGAAAGTTCTTTTACTTCATGGCTCACAGACACACCCAGAATGTGCGTCCAAGAAGCCGAGGAACCTTGTTTCGATGATAACATCAACGTTCCGCTGTCGAGAGAGGAACGCAGGCATTTGAAAAGGTTGACGTGTTCCAATCCGTCTATATCATGGTACACTCATTCAACTGGCAGTTCTGATCGTAGATGGGGATACATAGATAGTCAAGACAACCGGGTACGTAGACCGCGTCATAGTGATTCTATCTACAATAATGATCCAGATGATGTAAACGAAAGTGACGTTGACAATGATGATGGCGATGACGAGGATGAAGACGACAACGAAGACGAAGATGATGACAATGACGTTGACGATGAGGATGACAATGATGATGACGATGACGATGATAAAGAAGAGGATGATGAAGTCGAATACAAAATCGACAACGAAAACGATATGAAAGGAGATAAAACTTGCAATAGGGCACCAGGAAGAGACTCAAAGGACGTAAGTGAGAAATGACAGTACAACATTACACAAATGACAGTATTGGACAAGTGTATTAGGACACACTAATAACATAACATGTTATATAAAGGGGTTATATATATTATTCAAAAAGAGAGAGAAAGAGAGAGAGAGAGAGAAGGGAAGAGAGAGAGAGAGAGGCATAAGTTGAAAATTGAAATGCGTAATGACTTGCTTATACACGACTTCTCGAACGATTTTATTGTGGGTGAAACTTTCATAAGTTGTATGTTGATGGAAGTCCCGAATATTGGGGCAGACCATTTATTGTTTCACTAAATACCAAACCCGAAGAGATATGATCCAGAAATAGTGTGAATGCTTATCATTGGTTGGTCGTGGAAAACAATTTTGATATGTTATATGCTCAAAAATTTTGTCATCATGGAGTGGGATCAGCAATTTGTGTTCGTCGAGATAGTGCACAGCTTTGCATAACATTGGAGAACGCGGTTATTGCAGGTGGAGGTGTCCCTGATGTGGATATGGTGCCACTTGCCGGACCACGTGTTAGACGACCAGCGGTGAGAGGTGGCGAGAGGGTCATGCGCGGGCGAAGAGTGCGTAACGGAGGTGCGAGACACAGGGATGCAGGGGTTGGAGCACTAGGCGGGCACGCAGGAGTTGTAGCGATGACAAGTAACGACATCCGTGCTGCATGGCCTTTGGCTGCCCAAAAAGTCGAGGCAGCGGCTCGTTATGTGGGCTTAGATGATGAGATTGATGCGTTTCTACAGATATTGGTCGGTAACGACAGGTTTGACGCCAAGCGGAATCGATTTGTAGGCTACCAACGTTTCGCTTTTTTGTGTGGCTACGGGGCAAGACAAAAACTGCTAGATATATTTGAGGATGCTATGCGTTTGCGCTGGCCTAATCCACCAGATGTGCCATACACATACTTTGTTCCCAACCCTTATATGGAGAGAGAGATAGAGAAAGAGAGAGAGAATATGCAGAGAGAGGACGATTGACGATAAAGAGAGGGTGAGAGAGACAGAGAGACCAGTGTCACGGTCGTGCGCAAACTTTTATCTGTCATCCATGTATCTTTGGGTGATCGAGCGTATCCTCGTGTGCTTCATTTTTTTTTTGTCTTTTGTGCGTATATTTCTTCTTATTGATTTTTTATTTCTCAGATGGATACCTTCAGCTTTTGTCAAATCCAGGGGAATTGATATTCTCGTGGGCACCACGGTCAAGGTCTTTTGTAATACCCCTGTTGAGCCTGTCTCTTATACACATCTAGATGTGTATAAGAGACAGCCTTTTCCCCCTCCCCCCTCCCCCCCTTTCCTCGTCCCTCTTTTATTCTCTGTTGTATAAATAATAAAAGCATATCATCAAGGTAGCCGACGTTCGGGTTCTGCCGAACCCCCGAACATTTGGCCCCCCGCCAGCCACACATTCGACCCGAATGTGAACTGTTTATTATTAATTTTTTTTTATTTTATTTTTTTGCCTTGGGAATCTATTGCAGAGGGGGGTTCTTCACACAACATATTTTGTCATACAAAACAAAAGTTGGCAAGGAGACAGTTTGCCTGCCGAATAACAAGAACCCTTCCCGCCATGTGTATGTGTACGTGTGTATCCCTTGGCATGAGAGAGAGAGAGAGAGAGAGACAGAGAGGGAGGGAGAAAACTATACAACAAGATAGAGACAAATCTTCTAATAAAAGCATTTATCGTTTCAAAAACATGGCAGTGACTGATATGAAAGTGAATGATCAACCTATCACGCCGGCCACATTATCGTCAACATCAACATCACCGTATATGCTATCACTATCAACGTCAGCAATATCCTCATCATCATCATCACCCTCCCGGTTGATATCACTATGCACCGTAGCGTCCCGGGCACCCTCGAATGCTTGTGCGGATGCCATGTTGTCGACAAAATCGTAGATATCCCTTGGCATTTCAAAATGTTATGTCGCGTAAGTAGGATCATGATCGAGCTGCCTCAAGTCGACAAAATCGTAGATATCCCTTGGGATTTCAAAATGTTCTGTCGGAACTGCCTCGTAAGTAGGATCTCGGTCGGGCTGCTTCAAAAGGATGCGCGCCTAGTCCGACACATGAGCGGACCCATGCATGTATTTAGCCAACAAATTCCGCCAGGTGTTGTCATGCAGAGGCCGAGTATGGCGATGAGCCGGTCGCTCCCTGTGTCGAACACCTGCAGGTTTCCTGTAACGAGTCTTCAAAGGAGGTTTGGCCCCATTAGTATTCCATTCCATAGCAAAGCAGGCCATCCTCGCCCCGTAAGACTTATCGAAATGGATGCGCTTTGGCACAAACTTGTTCATTATCGAATGGCCGGTTTCATTGTCATGTGTGGTGCGAGCTCTTGTGTAGCACGCCATGCGTGATTCGAAAGCCTCAATGTCCAGAAACTTTTTCACCTCATTGTGCGCCGTGCTTCCCTCTTTGTATGCGCGCCGGCAAGCGGGCCCTCCAACAGCTGCGCGAACCGTTGGGACGTGCACATCACAGTCGTTATGGTTCCCCGCCCAATGATTTGCAAGAACCATCATGTCCCTTCGGAGTGTGTGTGCGTCGTCATCCCCTGCAGCAGCTCGTAGTGAAGTCGTCTTGTAGAACCATGTCTTCACTTCTTGAGAACGTCCAACAATCAAAGTAGTGATAGGCGCAGCAACATTCTCAGCACGAAGAGGTTTTATGGCGGCCCAAACAACGACCACCCACTCTTGCTTTCTTTTTGGTTTCTTCGCATTCGAAGGTAGGGGACAATTGTTTTCCAACCAACGACGAAGCTTGTCGATAGTCAAAATTTGCAGATCGTCTTGTATCACACTCTTCCACTGTTGTGGGTAACGTGAAGTTCTTACTCGCGATTTTCTCAAAAAAACGTTTGAATAAGTTCTTAGCTTTATGCCATTGATCCTTAGAATCGTGAATACCACGTTCAAGTAACAAACATGAGACATGTTGACAATCGTCATGGACGACCTCCGAGATGCATAAACCTTTTTCATCAATGAGATGATCTAAAAGCATTGTTGTGGCAACACCCTCAAGCTGCCACGAGGATTGCGTTTTCGAACTTCGCAAGCTCACCATACCAACGATGAGACGCGTCCTCATGTCGATGGCGGTCACGGTGCAATGCTGAGCATCACGAGACAAATCATATCGCCTGTCAATCGCCAAAACGACCGGCTTCCCAGACTGTTTCACCTTCTCGATGGCTGTATCATAAAATGCTTCGGATAGAGTCACAGCCTTCGCACACCACCCCACACTTTCTGGACCTTGGTTATGAAAAAAATTTAAAAATAATTCCTTAGGAACGTGACGCAAACCCAAAGACTTGCAAAAGCTATTGATCTGCATGTGAGTCAATCCGCATGACATCGCAGCATGGTATAACTGAGGTTCGACACGAGTTCCTAGCACCTTACCATCCCCTTGACAAGAATGCCACGTCCATGTACAACCATACCGACATGCCAACTTCAGTGTGCAATAATGGCCAGGGTACAATATATCGACGAGTCGAACACCCGCTTCACTGCCGTGAAGAGGGCATGTAAGATCGAACAAACCGAGCAATTGCAACAGTTTCACAGGTTCCACTAGAACGAGGTCTGGAGGATCAGGGGCAGACCATTTACTCATCATATCCTTCACACTAGTACGCTCAACCATAGGACCAGTGGGAGAGCATGTGCCCAACCCATATGTCCATGGTATACCGGGCTCACGACCATATCCACTGCTAGGTTGACTACTTGAGTAAGTCGGTGAAGGGGTGGGCGTGGCAGCGAATGTGTCTATATGATTGCGAATTTTGTTCGATGACCATTGCAAGAGCGTCTCAATGACATGACTCATGCTCTTTCCAGGGAAATAACGTGATAAATTTTCAACTTGTTGAAGCACATGAGGTTGAAGTCGCACTTGTTTGTTGCCGTAAGAAGGATACGACTTCTGAAAACCTCCGCTACATTTTGTAGCGCCATCTCGACCAGGGTCTGAGCAGTCTGCAGCCTCACCCGCAACGTCAGCAGAAGGAAAGGGACTACGCACTTCAGGAGCACGAGCACAACCCTCGGGTAGAAACGATCCGGATGAAGAGGGGTCCGCTTGTGGAAGACATGGCTCTTCAGCCACAACCTGCGGTGGACATGGAATCTCGGGGGAAGTTCGTGGAGCACTACGTCCACGAGAGGAACGAGAGAAAAACACTTGCATCCCTCGACGATACCGTCGCTGCGTGGATGACATATGAGCAGGCGAGGTATGCACCATGGCCGCAAACATGTCCCCTGGGGCCACTTGACTGTTGATCCGCGGCAGCAGTCACTTCTTTTTGCCGTTGGTCATGAACATCAGTGTGTGCAACAACCGACGGTTGTGTCATGGCAACCATCCTTGGGAGTCGCATATCATGTCCACCACCAATTGCGATGGCATCCTGGAATAAGCTACGGTGACGACGAGAGGAATGGCTAGTCACTTGCATGTCGGGCACCGATCGCGTGCGACTGACCTTAGTTCGTGCACCTGCGCGTGAAGATAAAATTCCAGTTGCAGGAGGTGGCTCTGTGTGCAATGGTCGCGGTGGTGGTGTCAAATGTGCTACTGATTGTGCACCTGGAGTTCGAGAATTGCGTGCAACAGTTGCACGTGAATCACGGATTTCCACATGCTGTGCAGGTGTCTCCGATCTGTGATGTATAGCCAATCTCGGGGAACGACGAAGAAGTTGAACTACGGGGGTTGTCTTGCCTCCTTCCGGAGACCGCTCGGCATCCACATCCTCGTGACCTTCAATATTGTCCATAAGACATGGTATATGAATAAGAAAGAATGATCGATAGATTGGTAGGCAGATAGGAAAGGGGGCGGGGAGAGAGGGGGAGAGAGAGAGAGAGAGAGAGAGAGAGAGAGAGAGAGAGAGAGAGAGAGAGAGAG